CACACACACAGACACACACACACACACACGCACACACACACACATACTCACACACACACACACACACAGACACACACACACACACACGCACACACACACACACACAAGTGCACAAAGCGAAATGTAGAAATAGAAGAGCACTCATTTTCTTTGGAGCACTAGATTTAAAGTTCTTTCAATTCTTTGCTCTTTGATTTTGGTTTCTATCGATCTATTGATCTATCTATCGATCTATCTATCTATCTATCTATCTATCTATCTGTCTGTCTGTCTCGGATAGGGAATTGGTGCCTTGCTCAGTGGCTCCCAAACTCCTTCCCGCTTTTTCCATTCGTGTTCAAACCAGAGACCCATCACAGCCAAGTCTCCAATTGCCTCAGGTAAAACCGCGTGTTTGTTTATGTGAATGACAATTTCAGCCACTTCACATGAATGAACTCTACGTACCAAACCTGCTGTGGTCCTGCCTGGTCCCGTGCACGGTCCCATTAGGGAATATCTCCAGCTGGAAGCCGGTCCTGCAGTAGAGCTGCCGCCGCCTCAGGATGCCTTTGAGGTGGCCGAAGTCGGTGGGCGACCCCCGCTGGAGGCCCCCGTCGCTCTGGCCCAGGCGCTCATTCAAGCCCAGCGGCGACTCCGGCTGAAGGGGCGCGTTCCCAAACGCGGGGAAACTTTGTAAATCCAAATCGAGCCCTCCGAACAAAGTTCCCACCTCGGCCATGGTGTGCGCGGCCGTCAGGTTTAAACTAAGCGAAGGCATTTAAAGTGGTCAAAATGTCCGAGCCATGCAGGCTAAATGAAGTCCTCTCGTCATCCGTTTTGATATGTGCGCTAATGAGAAGGAAAAGACTCTATTATATACATCCTCCCCACGCATTCTCCTCACATTGGCCACGCCTGGCTGGCATCCTCTTGTTGCGCGCACCTCACTCCGAGCGCGGACTCTTCTAATCCGACTTGTCTGCAGCGCAGTCGTCTACATAAAATCTCCTCAATGCGAAGTAACGAGCGGTGCGTTCAAAGACCATCCTTGAACATTTACCACGACGCCATCCATCTGCTGCTTTTTGACGGCTCGCGCCTCCCGATTTCCCCGCCAGATGAAGGAAAATAACTTGTGCATATTCTCGGTGCAATCCAAGTTTACGCACAAGTGTCAGTGCCAACAACTGCAGCTTCTCGTGAGATCCGTCTCTCCTCCTCCTCCTCCTTCTCCTCCTTCTTCTCCTCCTCTTTGGAAGCAGGTGCTTCCTCGCCCCTCTGCACTACGTCTGCAATGTGCTGCAAAAAGGCAGCGGCTTTAAGCACTTGTAGGGCTTACAACTGGGGAGAATGGGAGGGGAAGGCTGGAGGAGGATTGGGGGGTCTTTAATGCAGGGGTCCCCAACCTTTTTTGCCCCACGGACCGGTTTATGTCAGACAATATTTTCAGGGACCGGCATTTAAGGTGTGGCGGAAACAATACAACAAAATAATATGGTATGAGCTGCATGGAAACTGTGGTGTTTTCGAAATATAATAATAAACACAAGGAGCGTCTAATCTGGTCGCAACACTCTGATCGCTATGGTAATGTTTAATGCCTTCAAAATACGATACAACGCAAATTCAAAGTGCATGACAATGACGACTCACCACAGCCCCGAGCTTGATTTTCTGCAACCAGACGGTCCCATCTCGGGGTAATAGGAGACAATGACACCTCAAGTGTGTCCAGTCTACTTCGTAATTTTGTTTTAGTCGCCGTTGCTGCAGAAAACCCCCTCCTCACACAGGTAGCATGTCGGAAATAGCAACAGTGCTACTGTGGCGATCTCAGAATATTCAGCCATAACTTTAATCCAGTTGTCTCGAACGTACTTTTAAGGCCGCCGTCATTTGCGCTCTCCAGCAGTTTTATTACTCATTTTGCGAGCTCTGGCGTTTTGTTTTTAGCGTAATCGGTCACGTGACGGAGAAGCGCGGCTTGACGTGTGTCAAGCGTGACACAGACGGATGTAACGGAGAATCCGGTAATTTTTCAAAATAAAACATTTTTCGTATTCCGAAATAAATAAAACGGAATTAAGGCAAGTTCTTTCTGTGCGGCCCGGTACCAAATGCCCTGCGGACCGGTACCGGTCCGCGGACCGGCGGTTGGGGACCCCTGCTTTAATGTGTCGTGCACCATCAAACGTGAGTGGTGTGAAACCGCCACAGCTACTAAATGACATTAAATGCCCAGTAAATTGAATTCCGAGATTTGTTTTGTGATCGTGTTTGAAAACAAATGCTAAAACGTGATGAAACTGGGAACTACTCACTGCTGAATTATCGGGGACAGGCAAAAAAAAAACTATCAACTCAAAAAGCTTAACGTCGCTTCACGTCCAAAAACCACTATCACCACCAGAATTCTTGTGCACGTGTCTCTTTGTGCTCATTTCAATCTCTGAACATATTCAAACAATCACCACAATATTTTCGATTTATTGGACCTAAATCCTTTTCCTTCCCATAGTAGGCGCTCACTACAGGGGAAATGCCAGTTACAGTGAAACTCCTCTACAACAAAATCATGTTTGCAGCAAGAAATTTTTCACAACAGGGGCTTTTTCACTGTAGCAAATTTGATCTCAGATGTAAGCACACACACACCCACACACAAACGTATGTGTACACGCACACACAAACGTATGTGTACTCTATTTTTATTCCAATAGTGCATAAGTATGAGCACACACTTATTTGACATTTCATATAGTCAGTGTAGAAAGAAAAAAAAAGGGAAAGAAATTGCGAAATTTACGATCGGCATTCACTTTCACTTACATCAATTTCTAGGATAATGTCTTTTATTTTGCTTCCTCCGTCTTTCATTTTGATCACTTTTACCCTTTCTTCCAACGTCGGAGCGCTTCTTGTCCTAGCTGCTTAACATCCAAAGGTCCGTTTTGTAGCCATTTTAGCAATGCAACGTTCATGCTGCGTCTGAATCTAACAATAACAAATACTTCCTGGACCCGGTGGCTTTTCTTTCCACCATCTCACTGTCTCTAACTCGACCTCCTCTCGATCGCCACCCAAGACAGCGTTGCTCAGCTGATGTCATGCAATGAACTTTTAAGTCAGCCACGGGACGCTTCGTAGTCCTCGATGGCCATAGTTAGCGCGATGGAACTCGCCTTCTCTCTAATTAGCGCTCCAGGTAACGTAAGGTTTTTCGCATGATAACAAGTAAAGCATTCCAGGAAACGTTCGTTTATTTGACTGTCCGTCGAGCCACAAGCAATTTACTCTGAGGGGCTAATCGGATGCATTTCACTCTATCTTCCACGGATCTAGCTACAGTATCTACACATATAGACAGTGAGGTCCCTCTTGGCCAATCGGAGGCCAGGATGATGCTCGGTCAGCCAATGGCAGAGCAGCTATGAGTATGTTGCGTTCAGGAAACTCGCAGCTGTGACTGAAATAAACATCGTTCACTATGTAAACCAGTGTGGTGGTTGCTGTTGCCGTTTCCGAACGAAGCAGTAGAGGTCGCTGTTGGATTAGACCTCGTTGTAGTGAATGTCTTCGTGAGGCAGGAGCAGAAAAAATGATTTCGTAGAACGCAACAGGGTTTTTTTTCGTCGAATGGTGGGCAGGAGAATGCGAATGGTGTTAATGCATGAAGATGTTTTCACATTAGGGGGTATTTTCGCCCATGTAGGTCTCGTTCTAGAGAAGTTTCACTGTAATGTCTGAAAACTACAACCTATCTTCACCGAAATGTATGTGCACCTCTAGTCATGACCACTTTCAACTCTGAAAAATCTCAACATCACTTCATGTCAGCAAATTGCGATTAATCTTCACCAAATTTTATGCGTCTACTTAAGACGACTTCACCTGCTACAAATATCAGAATAATCACCCCAATATTTTGTATTTTATGGACATTACACATTTTCCTTTCCATGGGTGCTCACTGCAAAAAATTTAATATTGCTTAACGACGAAAATACTTAATGTCCATATAACCCAAAATATTGGGGAAATCGTGCCTATAATTTCAGTGGTTGAAGTGGGCGTAAGTATAGTTTTTCAAATGATTTTTGGTGAGGATTGATTGCAGTTTTTTTTACATTGAGCAACGTTACAGGTTTTCTGAGTAATGAGCATCTTTGGATGTCCATGAAATCCAATCTTGGCCATTATTTTCTAATAATTTCAGAGGTTGCAGTGGGCATAAATAGAGATGGCCACATTCATTTTGGGCATGATCGCAGTTTTCTGATGTTAAACTACATGGTAAGTTTTCTCTATAATGACTGTTTATGCAGAGGAAAAGGCTTAACGTTCATGAAAACCAAAATATTGGGGCAGTTGTTCTGATATTTTCAGAGATTGAAGTGGGGATAAGTAAATATATTCAGATACATTTTGGTGGCGATTGATCGTAGTTCTCTGTTATTCAGCAAAGTGAAGCTTTTTTACACTTCTGTCAAGTGTTTTAGACTTTCCTAATTGTGGGAATACTGTATTGCATTCAACAATTTTTTTTACCTTTTCAGTTTTCACAATTTTTTGGGCCTTGGCTAAACTGGCGCCGAGCGTTGCACTTTGATGTCCGGTTTGGGTCGTCCCTGCAACACTATTTAAAAATTTGTGATTTGGTTTGCATCAGCGGTTATAGAGCGCAATTGCAAGTTACTTTGTTATTATAATGAGGCCCATTTGTGCCAATACAGTGGGCACTTAGCTAGCTCAGCTATGCCTACACCATGGAAGTGCAGCTTTTCAGGTTGCCACAAAATACAAAACAGCTCAGTGTTCTTGTTTAAATTCCCAGTTGAGAAGATGATAATGTGTACGTGTCTGCCACCAAACCAAGAAAAGCCCAGGAAGCCTGTTAGCTTGTAAGTATTTTTATGATATAATTATTACACACAACGCAAAACATAAACGAGCACAGCCAAATTTGGCGGGAAAGCCTGACTTTCTTTTCAGAATCAATATTTTGCACCGGACTCGGCTCCGATACCAAAAATATTGACATAAATGTGGGCCACTGATTGAAAAAGACAGAACACATTTATGTTTAACAGTGCAGTTGTATGGTAACATTTTGTTTTTCATTTCAAGGAGTAGTGTTTCGTTTTGTGTTTTTGCATTTTTATAATCACCTTTCTTTGCTGATATGACATAATGCAGCTCTTGCATTGGCTTCCATTTTCAGCTTACCTAATGTTTTGATCAGATTGTGCTTCACATATGCTAATATATATTAAGTATATATTCAATACCGCAATAATTTCACATTTGAATTGAAGCCCAATTACCTGTATTTGTATTGTATGTTGAGAGAGCATGTAGAAATGAGGAATAAACGATAAGTCTGGACTTCGTATTACTTCTGCACACAGTGGGGAAACAAGTCAGCACATGTGGAAGCATGACCTAAAAAAAGGGGGGGAAAAATAAATGAAAACACAGCTGTTTTGCAAAGACTTTGCTTGTGTGAAGTGAAAACAAACAGCGGGAGTGTTTTAATTAGATCACTGTTCTTGAGATATCAGTGACAGTGGGGTGGCTGGTGTGAGTTGCATGAAGACATCAATAGCACAATTCAAGTCAGAGACATGTTACGTACATTAGACCACCCTCAAGCTGTCTCTGAGAAAAGCCGCCCCAACTCCGGCCCCTCATCAACACAAGCAGCAGCATGACATCCAACCGAGTTGTCTGTTCAAATAACTCGCAGTGTACACTGCATAGGAAGAAAATCAACAATCCCCTGATTTTAAATTGGATTTAGGTCTGGGCTCTAATTTGTTTAGTGTTCTCAACACACACGACTGTGATCATAACTATTAAACAGGTTTAACGTTTACGATTGCCGGAGCCGGGCGCTTCCCCAGCGGATCTAGGAGGGAAAAAAATCACTTTTAACACATCCCACATGACAGGATCATCTTTAAGTGACTTCCAATAATCGGGTCGTTGCTGACTTTGATGAGTAGAGAAAAACATGTGAAAATGTGCAAATTCTGCTCGATTATCAATATTCGTGCATGACGGGTTACTGACAGGTAGTGCATCCTCTTGTCTGATCCAGTAGGGGGCACTATGGAGAATTTATTGTTTTGTTTTATTTTTTAATAAAATGTAGAGTCCCCTTCGAATAAGTGAGACCTCCCCGAAAATGTTTACAACTGGCAACAGGTACCATAAGATGGCAGCAAACTACTAATTTCATATAGGACAGGTCTATAGGCTGCCGAAATGAATCTCC